ACCTGAATATGAGAGTATTCGTTCTCAGATTTTGGGTGGTTCTACTCTTCCCTCACTACTTGAGGTCTTCTCTCGTATACAGCGGGCTACTTTGTCTACTTCAAGTACAAATAATGGTGTTTTCACTGATCGCTCAGCTCTTGTGGTACCTAGTAGTCATAGTGATGGTCCTCGAGGTGGTCGTGGTGGTCGAGGAGGTCGTACGGGTAGTTGTGGTGGTCGTAGTGGACCACGTTCTTGTACTCACTATGGTCGTGGAGGGCATATTGTTGATTTCTGCTGGGATTTACATGGAAAACCCTGTGGTGTTGCGAATCAGGTTTCCTATCAGGATGACATCTGTGTTATTGCATCCTTACTTCGGTCAGTTCCACCAGACATTGGGTCAGTTACTATTACACGAGAGGAGTATGCTCAGTTCCTATCCCAGCAACAGGTTGTTCTATCCCTCTCCACTGCTACTTTTGCCCAGTCAGGTACTGCTTACACATATTTGTTGTCCTCCACTCGTAGTCCCTGGATCATAGACTTTGGTGTTTCTGACCACATGACTGGTGCGTCTGATGTCTTTTCTACTTATCAGTTTACTACTTCTACACGTAGTGTTACCTTTGCTAATGGTTATTGTTCTAAAGTTTCAGGTTTTGGAACTACTAACTTGAGTCTTGATATGTCTCTTTCTTCCGTTTTATTTGTTCCTCAATTTTCTTTTAGTTTACTTTCCATTAACAAGCTTACCCGTTTTCTCAATTGCTTTGTAACCTTTTATCCTTCTTATTGTGTCTTTTAGGATCTCAAGATGAAGAGGAAGATTGGTACGGGACATGAAGCTGGTGCCCTATATTATCTTGACTTCTATTCACCTACTCGGGCTCTACAGACTTTGTTATCTCCTTTTCAATGGCATTGTCGTCTTGGACATTCCTCTCTCCAGAATTTGAAACGCCAAGTTCCCAGTCTTAGTTATGTGTCGTCTTTGTCCTGGGAAGCTTGTCAACTTAGTAAGCATCACCGTGTGTCATTTCAATCTAGAGTCAATAATTGTGTGTCTTGTCTATTTGAATTAGTTCATTCTGATGTATGGGGTCCAATAAAGAATATTTCATCTAATAAATATCCTTATTTTATGACATTTGTGGATGACTATTCTCGTGTGACTTGGTTGTTTTTGATGAAAGCTCGGTCTGAATTATTCTCTATATTTGAGCCTTTTCGTAAAGAAATAAAAATTCAGTTTGGTTGTCGTATACGTACTTTACGTTCTAATAATGCTTGGGAATATGAATTTAATTCTTTTTTAGCTTATCTCAATAAAATTGGCATTATTCATCAGACCTCTTGTGCTTATACCTCTCCACAAAATGGTGTTGCTGAACGCAAGAACCGTCATTTGTTGAAAGTAACCTGTGCCTTGTTATTCCAGATGCATATTTTCCGATACTTTTGGAGTGATGTTGTTCTTACTGTTTGTCATCTTATTAATCGTATGTCATCATCTGTGTTAAATGGGCAAAGTCCATATTCTATCCTTTTTCCTAGTAAGCCTTTATTTTCCATGATTCCTAAGATTTTTGGATGTGTCTGTTATGTTCACAATTTGGGCCCTGGGTTTGACAAACTTGATCCTCGAGCTACCAAATGTGTATTCCTTGGTTACTCCCGCACGCAGAATGGGTATCGTTATTACAGTCCTTCTCTACACCGATACTTTACTAGTATCGATGTCACATTTGAAGAATCTATTCCATACTTTCCAGTCCTTTCTCATCCTTTGGATCTGGACTTTGGATCCTCTCCGGTACCACCGTCTCTTTCCTCATCTTCAGATATTCTGCTGCCCACTGTGTTACCATCTACCTTACCTCTCCATGTCTATTCTCGCCGTCCTCGCCCATCGACTGAGGTGCCCATACCGCCTTCCTTGCCGCCTTTTGATCCTGGTGCATCAGGTAATTTAGATTCTTTACCTATTGCTCTTCGCAAAGGTACTCGTTCGTGTGTTACTCATCATCCCATTTTTTACTTTGTTTCATATGATGCCTTGTCTCCTGTTTTACTTCTCAATTATCTGCTATATCTATTCCTAAGTATTTACAGGATGCATTATTTGATCCGGGTTGGAGGAGGAGATGGATGTTTTACATCATAATGGGACTTAGGATCTTGTTCCTTTATCCCCTGATAAACAAATTGTTGGTTGTCGTTGGGTGTATACTGTTAAATTTCATCCAGATGGTACTGCGGAGCGTCTCAAAGCTCGACTTGTTGCAAAGGGCTTTACTCAGACTTATGGTGTTGATTATGAGGAGACTTTTTTTCCTGCTGCCAAAATTTTCTCTGTTCGTGTCTTGATCTCTTTGGTTGCTAATCTTGATTGGTCCTTGTTTCAGTTAGATATCAAGAATGTCTTTCTGCATGGTGACTTGGTTGAGAAAGTATACATGGAACAGCCATCTGGGTTTACTGTTCAGGGGGAGTATGGTAAGAGTGTATGTCGGTTAAAAAAATCTTTGTATGGTTTGAAGCAGTCCCCGAGGGCATGGTTTGGTAAGTTTTCAGATGTAGTTTTAGAAGTTTGGTCTTCTTCGATGTCAGATAGATCATTCTGTGTTTCATAGACAGACAAATGCTGGATATGTCTTATTGGTGGTCTATGTAGATGATATTGTAATTACTGGAAATGATTCTGAGGGGATTGCCAATTTAAAAATATTCTTACAGAATCGATTTCATAGTAAGGATTTGAAAAAATTTAGGTATTTCTTGGGTATTGAGGTAGCTCGATCTAAACAGGGTATTTGCTTATCCCAGAGGAAATATGTACTTGATATGCTTGAGGAAGTAGGTTTGCTGGGTGGTAGACCGATTGATGTTCCTATGGATTCAAATCATAAATTATTAGTGGATGATGGTGCATTGTTTGAGAATCCGGGTCGGTATCGCAGATTGGTTGGAAAGTTTAACTATCTCACTCTTACTCGACTGGATATTTCTTATGCAGTCAGTATAGTAAGTCAGTTCATGAGATGTCCTAGAGTACCACATTGGGAGGCAGTTATTCGTATTCTGCAATATCTCAAACGAGTTTTTGGACTTGGACTGTTATATCAAACTCATGGACATCTTGGAGTGAAAGGTTTCTCAGATGCTGATTGGCTGACTCTCCTTCTAATCGGAGATCGACCATTGGTTATTGTACTTTCTTAGGAGGTAATGTTGTCTCATAGAAAAGTAAGAAACAACCCGTGGTAGTAAGATCTAGTGCTGAAGCTGAGTATAGGACAATGACACATACAACGAGTGAGTTGATTTGGCTACTACACTTTCTCTAGGAAATTGGGTTTCCAGTTCAACTTCCTTTATAGTTATTTTGTGACAACCAGACAGCTATTCATATCGTTGTCAATCCTGTGTTTCACGAGAGAACCAAGAATATTGAGGTTGATTGTCACTTTAATCGAGACAAGGTAGTAGCTAGGGAGATTACAACTCCATTTGTGAAATCTGAAGATCATCTTGTAGATATGTTTACCAAAGTATTGAGTCATATACGTATTACAGCTATTTATTCCAAGCTTGGATTATATGATAGATATAGTCCAGCTTGAGGGGGAGTGTTAAGAATAGTAGGGTTGTATGTGTAAATTGTTAATAGTATGAGGGTATATGTGTAATTCTTGTTATTGTAGATTAAGTATAAATACAAGTGGTGTATGAGAGTTAGGTTAAGTTTTTAACCTCGCTTTCTCTGTAATATTGTGTTATGTTAATTATCTCAACTTAACAGTTGTCCTTGATTGAGTTTGTTTCTTGTGATAAAACGTATTCAGGTTTTATTTTTCGAGGTCATTTTCTTGCAAATCTTTTGCCCACTCAATTATTGGTGATTCACTATCATCTATGTTTGAACCCCCTTTGATGATTTGGAAGGCTTAAGTGCCTGTTAAGGTGCAAGGCTTTGCATGGAGTATTGATGATGGAATGATACATTTCTGTGAATTGTGATTTATTCGAAGTTAGAAGGTCAAATGCTTGTATGTCTCCTCAATGATGTATTTTGAGTAAAAGAGAAGTATTGATCTTATTTTTCTTAATTATCCTACTTTGTTAGATTTGTGGCATTTATTTTTGGGGAAGGATTGGGTTATTCCATTGTGTTGTGTTTCCTTATTTGTGGAAATTCCTAGTGGTTTTGAGAAAAACTATTAGTCTTCCATACTGTGGGATTGCGCTATTATAACAATTAGTAGTTATTTGTTAGGAAAGAAATAGAAAGATTTTGATGACAAATGTGCGATTAAGGAGTTTTTTAACTCAACTCAACAAAGCCTTGTCCTAACGTTTTTTAGGTTGGCTACGTGAATCCTGTTCCACCATTGAGGTCTATCAAGGGCAATGTTTTTAGTTAAAGGGCGATTAAGGAGAATCTATGGGACAGATGTAAGTTTTGGCTTCTTTGTAGGCCGCAGCTATAAGGAGTTGTGGGATATTCTTTTCTTTCTTATCCCCCTAAGATTGGGTTGTGCATGTAGTTAAAATGGATGGAAGGGGGAGTTTCTAGTGTAATTTTTTGTTTCTACCTTATTTGGTATAACAGTGGCTGGACTCCTTGTCCACCTTCATTGTTCTCTTTCTTTCTTTAATGAAAGTGCTTGCTGCTTATAAAAAATCAAATTAGTTTCTGTCCTGCGTGAATTTGATTTTTGGGAAGATTGCTGGAAACACGGTTCAAGCATTCCCGTGATGCATAATCTTTGTTTGGAGTGCTGGAAACGATTTGAGTGGAAATCTTTGTTGTAGGAAATTAGTTGGCCCACAGTTTTCCGCAATAACCAAACATAGGAAAGTGAGGACAAACATTTGTGTTCTTTTACTTCCCTTATCTATCTATCAAATGCAGCATTAGTTTATTGGAATTGGTTTTTGGTTCAAGCTTAAGCGCAATCTATGGGCTGTTACAATCACATTGAAGGACGGCTACAGTGTGATAAAACCTGATAATGGACTTGAACCTGGGGGCAAAGTGGAAAGTTTCGGGATTAGTTTATGATGTATATGGTTGGTTCGATTCAGGGTGGATTTGGTTGGCAGCCCAAGCATTTAAAAAGCCCCGAGCCAGGGATTAAAAGAAGAAAAGAGCCCCCCCCTCCTGTGGCCGGGCGGGGTGGGGGGGTTTATTAGACCAATGGGAAAACATTGCTTTTCTCTAAGTTGGGCTTGGTTGAAAGTTTTCTTTCTTTTTTTTCCTATCATCTACATTGTGATTATCTGTTGAGCCATAAATTATGGTACATTTTGTATTACAGTTGACTAGACAGACTAGTTCATGGTTCAAAGTATCGGTCGATACGAGTCGGCTAATTCAGCATCTTTTGTGACGATACTATTACACGATATGTATAAACCCCGAGTCTCACATGAGTCGTCCGAGTTAGTCCCCAGTCGTTGAGATATCGTCACCAAATCGGCCAATATGATTTTGCAACGTTGCGGTATAGTCTGAATCCCTTGTCATATTCAACATTTTTTTTAGGTCGTATCGTCCAATATCGCACCGCAACTGATGTATTTCAGAGCACTCCGAGTCGATAGTTTATACTGTGACCTTGAACCATGCCAACTCAGGAATAAGTGTATCCCATCCACTGTATCATTTCTTCTAGTACAATCCATATTTTGGTTGTAAATTTTTTTTTTTGGAATCCACTTTTAGGCTTTTGCCAAGACCTTGATGGGGTTCTTGACCTTGTCTGTCTGACTTGAAAATAATGGAATGAATTTGACAACATTGATCATTGCAATCAATTGAACCGGAGTTTTACTTTCTTCCAAATGACTACTGCGCTTGTTATCTCTATTGGGAAATGACTAGTAGCAATAGAATATTTGACCAACTGCGAAATTGATGTCTTATTTTTCTAATCGTTCCCACTAAATGGACAAATTGGAAGAGACAGTCTTGCACTCTATTATGTTGTGATAAGTTTAAGCATAAAGGTGGAGTAGGGGAGCTTTGGTTTGTCAAGTATGTCAGGTCTGACACCTTGCTGTTAACTGATTCATTTCTGTTTGCTTGTGTTGTCCTGTATTCTGTTCTCCAAACTGCTTACTCCTTTTCCATTGCTGCCGCAGCTGCTTCTGTTTTGTTGGTGATTTTAGTGAGCTCTGCTTTATGTGACTGATCTATGTTAGATGCACTGCAGTTTTAAATTGAATTTTATGGGGTCCATGTGTTACTGATTGCAATATACTGATATGAAACTTGTGTAGTTGTCAAACTTTTGTTTTGTTTGCGATCTGTTTTTTCTTACAGGTATCGTGCCATTACTAGTGCTTATTACCGAGGAGCTGTTGGTGCTTTACTTGTGTATGATGTGACTCGACATTCGACATTTGAGAGTGTTACAAGGTGGTTGAAGGAGTTAAGGGACCACACAGATCCCAGCATTGTTGTCATGCTCATTGGCAACAAATCAGATCTTCGACATCTTGTGGCTGTTTCAACCGAGGATGGTAAAACTTTAGCAGAGAGGGAGTCTCTCTACTTCATGGAGACTTCTGCATTGGAAGCAACCAATGTGGAAAATGCTTTCACGGAAGTCCTTTCTCAGATATACCGGATTGTGATAAAAAGGGCAGTTGAGGCTGGTGATGAAGGAGCTTCTTCGTCTCTTCCATCTAAAGGAGAGACGATCAATATCAAAGACGACGTGCCTGCTTGGAAGAGATTTGGATGTTGTTCCAGCTAGGGCTTGCATGGAATGGATGGGGCCTTTTGTTTCTGCTCCATCAAATGTTTCTTTTGTACATCATCAGTACATTTACGATTTACTAACCACGAGAATACAGCAAGGAGTGTTTTCGTGAAATTTCTATTTGAATAGGAGCAGGATCTGGTAAAATTAAGGATTAATATGCTGATAGAATGTGTAAATAAGGTCTCTATTTTCGTGTTTTTAATACTTCTGAAAAGGCTTGATATGGTTTAACTTCTCCATTAAAGGCGGTCTATTAGGCATACTCTTCTTTCTATCTTTCTATGTGCATAATAATTTCTGCTTCATGGTTTGTTATTTACTTAAAACATTTCATTTTCTAGCCTTTATTGATCGAATTCAGTTAGGAGATTAGAATCGTGCTTGTTAGAATTTCGCACTTGACTGTGCCAATGGTTCATTTGCATTTTATTTTCATTGTTTCGGTCTACCTGGACACCACAATTACTTTGTGTATCGTTAATTTTGAACTTTTTACTATAATTTTCTTGTTTTTCCAATATTGGAAAGGAAGAAACTAGGAAGCATAGCAGCTGATTCGAAAACTAGAATGACTTGAAGGCTAGAAAACGTTTGACTTTACAGCTGAATCAGACTTTAGAAACCGTGACAATAGTCATATACTCGTAAATGACAAGGTGGTGGGTTTGAATGTGAGTGCAATTATTTTGTGTACACTGTCAAAGTTTCGTTTTATCAATCCAACCTTTCCTGTTTTAACAGAGACCAAACCGGGCCAAGCCAGCACATCAAACGAGGAATTCCTTGTTTGGCTGGCGGATGCAAGTCTTGCTCCTTACGAGGATGCAGTTGCAAATATAATGCAAGAATGTATTTTTATTCCATTCTTATGTTTGAATAAAATAATTTTTTCATTGGAATGGAATCAACTTTGACCAAAATATCTGGTGACTAAAAATAATTAATAACAAATTTTTATTACTGCAATTGCGCCTAAAGTTTTGTATAATAAAATTTATAATTATAAAAAAATGAGAATCCATTAAAAGAAGTTGAACCTCTATAAATTTTTAAAAATTAGAAAAAAAAATTCCTCCAAAAATAGGTTCAGGAAAAGAAACCAAAACTGAATATTATCAAAAATTGGTCACTTATTTCAAATGAACAACTATAGTTCTTAGTGAATACAATTGAACACGTGCAAATCTAAAAAAAACTATCAACATAATTAGGAATTTTATTCAAACATGTAGGTTGAACAAAAATAAATTGATAAAAGCAAGTCCAAAAAATAATCAACAGTATATAGAAAACAAGTTGAATAAAAACAAAAATTCTTAAATTCCATTCATTTCATTTCAATAGCATTGGAGGTAAAATTCCAAGAAACAAAACCATTCTCAAATTCATGCGCAAAAAATAATAATGGTCAGGGTAAACATTTTCAAGGGTCAATATTGAAATTGATCATTCACATGCAAAGTCTTGAACTATATAATTTAATGGGCACCCACTAGTGATGTGATTATACTCATCACAAATCTTGAACACATTTTCAAAATTTGGGGCATTTAACACATTATCAGAAAAATTAGGAAACATAACATAAAACACAATCTACAACAAATTATTTACAATTGAGACAACATACCTTGGCCCATGATGAAAATCACGAGACTTACTTATGTCGTCCTAAATCACCTTCGAAAATATGACACTTAGCCTTTTCCAGCAACGGTGCCAAAAATGCTTGATCGTTTTCTCTAATCTCCAAACATGAGCCCGGATTATGTGTATATGACTTATACGGGTTGATGAGTGTCACTTTCCCTCGGGTTCAAATGCAAGAAATGAGAAAATTCGTGTGTGTGAACAAAAACGTGTCTGTGTGCAAAAGTGCTTCCCAAGCATAGAGAGACTTGCAATATCGTGTTTTACTTAGAATGGGTATTCCAAAATCATCTCCTTATGGAAGGAAAGATCAAAAGCTTTGAAGGGTGATTTGTAAATAAATGAAAATTAGAAAATCTTGTGAATTGTGTTTTGGTGAGTTGTGATTTGAGAAAAATGCAAGAAAGCAAGGTTGGATAATCTATAGAGGTCATTCCAATGGGAATGTCAAATCGACTCAATTCATTCAACTAATGGTGTCTCGATATTTGATTAATTCGTAGGAAGTGAATGACTAATGTGGTTGTGTTGGACAAAAATATATCCTGTGACAAGTCTACGGTGTATCAAGAGCCCACAATCACGTCCGCACTCAATCTAGTCAAACCAAACACTTAACACTACGAGGAAAAATGAAAGAGAATCGATTTCACATACTCAAGAGAAAATTCCCCTTGGATTAGCCAACTAAGAAGTTAGCTACTCATAGTAAAGGTAAGAACAAACATAATGTAAAGAAACATGGTAGTGAAATGGAAAATGGAACTTGTATTGATGCAAGAAAGGTTTAAACTACAAGAGCAAAGTCATTCATACCAAAAATACAAAGTTTGAAGAGAAAATACCCAGTTATAGAAATGAAAATACAAGAACACTTTACTAAGTTTGATTACAACTTAATTAAAATAGTTTAGAGTGAAAGAGAGAAAGATTACAAGTAAAATAAAGTGTACTACAATGAAAATGGTGAAGGAAATGTAAACATCCAACTTTCTCTCTCTAAAACTTCATCTTCAACCTTGGAGCTTCTCTCTCTAAAAGCATGTAAAAACTGAATAATGGTGTAACTCTTTCAATTTTCGTCCATTCTCTCTCACTTAGCATATGTGAACTGAATTGGAATGATTGGAGAAAGGTTGTCCACTTGAACAAATAATTTGATGTGATATTAATTATGAGTTGGTTAATCACACGACATACGACAATTGGCCGTTTTGAGAGAGTCATGTGGATTTAGTTTCGAGGGGACAAGAATTACTTAATCCCCAGTCTTAACTCTATGGATGTGAGCTCAAAAACATGTGAGGAAATATTTTCAGGGAAACATTGCTAGCATTATTGATACACAAAACAAGGGAGTGTCTTTTGAATAGATACCAATAGAAAAGGGAATTTTCAAGTGTATTTCAAGATAAGTTGTCGATGATACCATTGGAGATAGGTAATTTTTACATTTTTTATAGCTCTAGGGTATTTCACTTATATTTATTACTTTGTATCGCATGGTTCTTGTTGAACTAGAGGAATTGGGATTCAATTAAAAATATATTAGACCAAAGATTTATTCAACATAAAGATTCATTGTGGGGTGCTAGGTCTTTTACCAGTGATAGAAAAATCCCAATCTTTCCCCACCCTTTTTCAAAGCTGGTTGGCTCTTATTTGCTATACCTCTCCCTTTTTAACCTTATGATTAAATTGCATTGTGTAAAGGCCTAGTTTCCCCAAGTTGAGCTCTTTTTACATCCATTTGACACAACTTGAATTTCATGTGACAAGCTATGGCAAAGGGTAATCTCACAGGTTCTGACCTAGCTACTAGTGCAAAAGTCTCATCAAAATCAATTCCTTTTACTTGGGTTTACCCTTGTGCCACTAACCTAGACTTGTTCCTAACAACTACACCATTTTCATCAGATTTATCTTTAAAAATTCATTTTGTTCCAATTACATTGGTGTCTTTAGGCTTAGGGACCAAATCTCAAACATCACTTCATGTGAATTTGTTTAGCTCTTCTTGCATTGCAATAAGTCAATTGTCATCTTTAAGAGCCTCACTCACATTCTTACATTCAAACCTAGAGACCTAGCAATTTTGATCCAACTCATCTTCAAGTTGTCTCCTAGTCCTCACCCCTTTGTTCGGGTTTCCTAGAATGTCACTAGGTGCGTGTCTAGCCTGAACCCATGGCTTAATTTACTCCTAACCTCCCTAGGCACTGCAAAGAATACATAATGAAACCTACCTAGTAAAGACTATATAACAGAACGAGAAAGGGGTTTGATAAGAAAGAGTTTGAGAGTGTTCCACTTAGTTAACAAACAACGAGTTTGAAGTTGAGGCAGCATGGATACGAGACTACTGAAGTGAAGTTCGAAATCATTATGGTTCCAGTTCACCTTTATCTCCTATTGTAGTACTAGTTCCATCATCCTCCTCTCTCTCAAGAACAATAGAATATCTTGTGCAATCAATGACAATATTAATGGATTCCTTAACNCTCTTTCAATTTTCGTCCATTCTCTCTCACTTAGCATATGTGAACTGAATTGGAATGATTGGAGAAAGGTTGTCCACTTGAACAAATAATTTGATGTGATATTAATTATGAGTTGGTTAATCACACGACATACGACAATTGGCCGTTTTGAGAGAGTCATGTGGATTTAGTTTCGAGGGGACAAGAATTACTTAATCCCCAGTCTTAACTCTATGGATGTGAGCTCAAAAACATGTGAGGAAATATTTTCAGGGAAACATTGCTAGCATTATTGATACACAAAACAAGGGAGTGTCTTTTGAATAGATACCAATAGAAAAGGGAATTTTCAAGTGTATTTCAAGATAAGTTGTCGATGATACCATTGGAGATAGGTAATTTTTACATTTTTTATAGCTCTAGGGTATTTCACTTATATTTATTACTTTGTATCGCATGGTTCTTGTTGAACTAGAGGAATTGGGATTCAATTAAAAATATATTAGACCAAAGATTTATTCAACATAAAGATTCATTGTGGGGTGCTAGGTCTTTTACCAGTGATAGAAAAATCCCAATCTTTCCCCACCCTTTTTCAAAGCTGGTTGGCTCTTATTTGCTATACCTCTCCCTTTTTAACCTTATGATTAAATTGCATTGTGTAAAGGCCTAGTTTCCCCAAGTTGAGCTCTTTTTACATCCATTTGACACAACTTGAATTTCATGTGACAAGCTATGGCAAAGGGTAATCTCACAGGTTCTGACCTAGCTACTAGTGCAAAAGTCTCATCAAAATCAATTCCTTTTACTTGGGTTTACCCTTGTGCCACTAACCTAGACTTGTTCCTAACAACTACACCA